GCCGCGCTCCGGGGCATCTGAGCCCCTCTAAAGCTTCATACAAATTCATGACGGAGCACCGGGACCGCGCTCGCGCGCCCGCACTATCCTCCAAGTTTTCGGAAGGGTAGGTAGGTAGGTACATATGCATGCATGTGCATACGTATCCACGTTGCCCCGGTATAGTTCGTAATATTATTTAATACCCTTTGCGCGCCTCGCATCAGCGCGGGGATAGTGACGCGGTAAAATTTCGCGGATTAGTTTCGGCGTTTTATACGTGTCACATCGTCGTGCATCCCGCGCGGCCGCTTCCGGTTATTTCGCTGCACCGGCGGCCAAGAGGAAACGCTGGTTGGCGCGGTCGATGAGCTGAGCGTCAAGGGGCGAACTGTGGAATGGAAAGATGTTGAACGAAGATAAACCGCGACGAATGGAGATGTTAAGGCTGACTTATGGAGCCGATTACTGAGGAGAATGTAAATGCGGATAGACGCAACGTGCAAGTGTAATCTCGTTGCGTTGAAAATAAAATGACATTTCTACACGCGATATCGACATTTAGAACGTACGCAAATCGGGATAATTAGCTCTTCATGCTTTTTCCACGAGTCGGGATCTTTAATCTTCGATTGCAAATATCACGCACACAGAGCGAAAATACGTAGAAATAAAGCGAAATAAAATTGTCTTTAGTAGCGACACACACACACACCTGTATCCGCGTCGGAATCGGCTGCGGAAAGTGCGATAATTATAGAACTAGTCTAGCACATCATGAATATTTATGTCCTTAACATTCTGATGTTGTATCACGAGGCTTTCTAAAATATGCGTCGAGAGGTGCGGAACAAAAGGCACGTATCATGCGGTCTCGGAGAGGCACATTTGTCTTACCGTAACAATTCATGCCGGTTTTCTTCTCCCGCCTATTATTTTCGTAACGAAGTACATTCACACGTGAACTGTTTATCGACAACGTCGTACTTTCGGCTTCGCGCGAGTTGCACGAATTGTCCATTATATATTTTCACAATCGGCCGTCCGGATGTTCAAAGCATTCTTTTGCTATCCGCGCGTCCACTTTTATCATGTATTATTAATTCCTTTGACAGTTTTGTCGTACACATTGGCGTATATTATTTCACAAAGCTCGGCAATTCCGACAGGTTTCAGCTTTTCGTCGAACGCCGCGTGTTGCAAAAAAAAAATTTTTTTTTCAGATACCTCCAATAATTAAAATCGGCAAGAGTCCACATATTTATATATCTCTCGCATGCGATGCCGTCCCTGCCTCTGTAGGCGAGCTTTTATACGGCCGAGTGAAAGTTTCATTGCGAATCGTCCTTAAAAATAACTATCAGTGTTTGCTCAATCCGATGTATCGATTTGCATCCGGGCTTTGAGCTACCCGCTATCTAAATATTCCCGGACTCGTCGAAGAACGGCGGAATACATTAATATCGGATGAGTTGATGGCGAAATGAACTTGTATCGAAAGGACCGGTGCCACCGCGATCAAAAACTCATTGCAAATATTTTATCCGACATATTGCATCCGAGGGATCTAAAAGAGGCTCGCTCGAGGCGCATCGATCGATCCATGCTTTATTTTGCGCTGCATGCAGCGAACTGCAAAATCATCATCGGGATTTGATGACTCCTTTCCCTTTCCCCCTTCGTTCTTTCTTCCTGCGGCCTCCGAATTTATTATTGTTCTTCGTTCCGCATTTTTTTTACCCTCGGCGCTGCAGCCGTGTAATCGTATCGGTGTAAATGAGTGTAAAATATACGTTCTCGGGTTTTTTTTTCACGTCCGCGTGGCACCCACAGTATATATTATGCCCGGCAATTTTTTTCGCATATAATTGTTTTTTCCCCGAATTTGCAGAATAATTCGAGGGTAATCTTCGACAATAAACGTATCCAATTATTTAACATGATTAAAACGCGTTGGTGCGTAGGTGTAAAAGCAAAATTATTTTCGATACATTGATTAAATCCATCGATTAAACGCATTGATTAAAATCCAGAGTGCAAAAAAGTTATCCCGTGAGAAATTCCTCGGCTGAATTGGAGTTAAACGAGCCGCGTGGAGAGGAACGAAATGAAATTTATGAATTTTTTCCCGAATTAAATCGTACGAATATTATTATTTCTACCGGCAGTTTTATCTCCTCGTATCCGATTAAATGTCGAATCCTGGCGCGCGCAGCTCGACAGCGGCGCGGTCAGACGCCATATTAATTGATGCGATTAAACGAAAGCGAAGCAGCGCGATGGGGATTCACCGGTTACGGTCGCCCGTGATAGCCGCGAGAAAATCGAGCTCGCGCTCGTCGAAGAAATATGTTTTTACGTCCTCCGTCAATATTTTTTTCCGCTTTTACGCGCACACGGATATCCGGCCACTCGGCGGCGATCGTTTGCCTCACGGCACAACAACGGTTTATCGGACGGGTGTTATCACGTCACTTGGTATCCACGAGACCCCACGCCGCGCCGTTCTCCAGGCTCGGATTTCGGCTTCGGAGTTCTCTCTCAATTATTTGCATCGATCGATCGGCATGTGCCTTGTCCTGCCAATCGGCGGCGTTGCACGCCGCGTCCGACCTACGGTGAATGCAGCACGTGGCAAGGCAGAGCTGGCAGGGCATGTGTCTCGTGAAAGAAACATCGCCGCCCGCTCTAATGGCCGGGGGTCGGTTAATCGCGACTAGGAGACAAGCAAAGCCCAAGTAAACCGGGGTAGAGATTTATGAACGCCACCCTGCGAGAAAGGTGTATCGCTACCGCCGATTCAGGTGGCCGCCGAATCCATTCTTATCGCTCACGTCCGTTTCGTTAATTGTCATTATGGAGATGCGCCTGTGCGATTGACGTTGATTGCTTTCGCGATAATCCGAGCCTCGCGATTAACTATATTTATAGTGGTAAGATACGTCTGCACACGCACCCTCGGAAAGGATTTCTGTTACTGAGACAAAAATATTCTTGACGCACTCATATTTCTCACAACCTCATTTAGTATAAAAATGAGACGATATCGAAATAAAATCAATAAATCTTATTCTCCTCTGTCGAATTAAAAAAGATGGGCTTACTATATTGAGGCAAGAGTAACTTGTGCAAATGTAAGTTCATATATTCTTGCGTTTAGAATAAATTTTCCCTCCATCTCACAACGCACGAAGTTGGCACCACGATATTCGGCAAAAGACGATATATACTATCATTTTATTCTAGATTTTAGAGTAATTTAAGATTAAAATATTCCTTTCTCTATAATAAATATGATTGGCGCTATATCGATCCTATTTTATGATACATCCAAGTGTAAATAGCATTTGAGCCGGAAATTTTTTCTGCGCGATTACGCCAATAATGCGGTCCCGAAAGATACCGTGGATCGTGGAAATAACGTTTCTTTATCCACTTATCGTTGCTAATTTTCGACAAGTGTGAAACCGTATTTGAACCTGAGATTTATCCGTAGAAAGTATCACGTTATACAAAGAGGTAAATATCGTGTCTAAACAACCAGAGCGGATTCTTCTTCTTTCTATCGGATTCCTGTCGGAAAAAGAAACTTCTTTCTTAGTCTATCGAATTTCGTTCTCCCATCAATTGCATTATCGGCCAGTAATTTATTACCAAAAGTGGTATCCTCCTGGGATACCATCTACACCGGGTTACGTGTATTTTATTACGTAATATGGCTGGAGATTCGAATGAAAGTTGTACGAAGAGCCATAAATCATTTCGGAGTTTACCTATTAAGCACGTATGTTGACAGAACATCATTACTGACCTCGCGGATTTACCGATTGCGCACATCAATTTAACATATATTCGTCGCGCGACGATAAAATATGATCATTATTATAACTTTTATTTGCGCGAACTGCAAAACTCTCGTCCGCTTTGCTCCGAGGAAAATTTGCAATCTAATATTGTAATAATAAAAACGTGTTCTATATTACACATTTTATTTTTACAAGATTTTTGTTCGTCGCGCCACTTTACTGTGCCAGCGCAGTAATATCGAATCGAGTTGCTGTTATTACTATTCCTCGAGATGCAAACGATTCATTTTCTGTCTTACAACGGTAATAACGGTAGCCCCATATATACCGCCAATTTCTTGTCACGGAGCGCCAATCGTTTTGCTTCTTTTCCTCTCTGTCCTCTATTAACTCCCACCAGTTGTTTCCCTGTAATAAAGAGCCAGCGGAAGTTCCGTCGTAAATCGCCGTTTGATGTAACATAGACACGAAGCCAATACACGTATCTTCACCGATAATGACATCGAAAATCCCGATCACGCGAGTCGGGCCCTAATACTTGTGCAGTCGTGAGCTATTTGCGAGTCATATGGCGATTTTGCACGAACTCGGTCCAACGAAAAAAAACATTTAATAGAAAAAAAAAGCGCACAACCGAAGTTTGATGAAAATGAGAGAGACTCCCAGTATTAACTTAATCCCTGCATTTTTCCCGTTTCGTGACTTCCTCATAATTTTACTACAATCTTACTTGTAAAATACAAATCTCCGCCGGCAACTTTCGTAATAGCCCGACGAAAGTATATTCGAGGGCATAAATCTCGCGGCAATAAAAACGACGTATTCTGATTTCTTGTAACTTGGCTGCTTCATTAAGTTGCGCATTATAGCGTTTAACTTCCGTCCTGGGTCGATACATCTGCATTTGACTCACGTAATCGTGATATATTTCAGCAGTCACATCGTTAGCTTGAACACCGATACTCTGGCTGTCGCGAGGCATTTCATCTTTGCGTGTTAAATTTTAACTCCGAACGTTAAGAGCTGCCCCGCGCATCGCGTAAAGCTGCGGTACGCTAAATGTCAAACCGAACTATTTGCATAACCGTCTCCCTCGTTTCGCTCGCACGGGATAACAAGGACGGAAAAGTTCCTTACGCGAAGGTATAACGCCTGCCCGTTTCCGTCAACTATATTTGCGCCCCGAGCTGAATCAATTCCCGCTTCTGGTTTCAGTGGCCCTGTACGATGGCGAGCAATTAAACTTGACGAGGATCACACGCAGCGAAATGGGCGCTTATCTCTGCATCGCGACCAATGGTGTGCCGCCCACGGTCAGCAAGAGGATCACCGTGGATGTCGAATGTGAGTTTGTTGCGAGCCCACCGCACATTATTATCGCGTTACCGCGTAACAAATGTGAGATGTGCTCACATTCATGACGAATGGCGTGCAGCCGGCAATCGGGGGGGGGGGGGGATGCAATGCGACGCGATAATTATAATTTTACGATATTACATGCTAGATGTTCGCAATAAACGCTTAACGACGTGGATATTTAATTCAAGGGCTCGGTCGAAACGCGTGAGGTCTTGCAATAACGTTATTCGCCGGCTAAAGCCGAAAGTTGATGGCGCGGCTATTGCAGCGGCGTCAGCGTGCCGCTGACAAATAAATAACAATATAATTTACGTTAAAATTATACGCAATAACACCGAATTAAAAAGATATCGTGGAATAACGATATCGTAAAATGGTGGAACAACGGTACGTTGCAAGTGTTGCAGGAAACTTAATTGCTGCAATAAATTATGTTAATTGGATGCGGCGAACTACTGTGATTGTGAGCTCCAAATGTTCATGAAGTATCCTAATTTTCCCAGCTTGTTCACGTGTAAAATATCGCAAATACCAGCGCGCGCGCGCGCGCGTCTCGTTGTACCTCCTGGAGGAGGCGACGTGAAAATTAGGGTTCTTTGTCGGGGAGCGGCTGGATCGTATCCAGCGACGATTTATCGAATAAATTTTAAACGCGTTGTTGTGCGCGATCTCACCGCGATCCGACGGCCGGGGCTCGCTCGTGTATTGTTTAAATTTCATTTCACGAATTGCGCAACACGAGCACACGTGCGCGTGCACACTGCACACGTTGCTGTGCAGCGGCGCACGTGCTCCGCACCAAATACGTGTACCAGACAACAAGAGGCACGGAAAGGGTAGATCCACGGGGATCCGCGGCGCGTCGGAGGGACGGGGGCGGGGGGAGGGGAAGAGGGAAACGCCGTCGGGAAAGCCCGGGGGAAATACTGGAAGCCGCGCGCAAGCCGTCCCGTCGGCCCTGGTCATTTTTCCCTTTTATGCGTTTCATTCGTTCGTGTCACTTCGTATGCCTGCATCCGCGTCGGTGTGCGTGCGCGCGGGGCGGCCGGGGCGCCCCGGCGTCGTTGTTGAGGGAAGAAGGAACGGTACGTTACGGCGCAGGACCGGGCGGTATCTCTTGAATATTTAGGAGGCGGGGGACATATTTTATTTAGACGAGCGGGATAAAACATCGGTTTTCCGCGCGCGGATGCGGCGCGTTCCGGGTCATAGCGGACGCTTCCGAGATCGTCTCCGCGCGCCCGGCACACGCGTGCGTCCACGCCCCCTCGTTGCCGCGGCGCACGTACGCGTGTAGGGATTTGCGGGACGCCGCATCGGTAAAAAGTTGAATGTACGTAATGACACGGGCGAGCCGTGGGAAATTCTCCAACGCGATCTGATTGACGGCATAATTCTCTCCCCTTCGTGCGCGCAGGACGATCGATGGCGCGCCAACGTTACGGTTGTTTTTTAGTCGACACCTTAGTCAGCATTATACATATGTATAGCTGCAGCAACGATAGCGATCTATGATGGTATATTAATTTTTTAACTGCTACACACGGCACGCGCTAGTTGATACAGTTCTGCATTGCATTAGTTGCGTCGTTACCGCTGCTCCGGCCTGAACTTGCTTTTTTTTTCCTTTGGAAGCTGCAGCTTACAACTTCCCAGTCAGCGAAATGTTAACAGATTGGCAGTAGATTCATCGGAAGCCCACATCAAAACCATAGCCATCTGTGTCCGCATTCGGCTTTTGTTTTGGCAACGGAGTTTGTAAAACATACGCCGTCGACAGATTATTAGAAATCTTTTAGGAGTAAGGGTGTTATGTGATACCCGTCTCACCTCTTATTTACGGATGGAGGGGATTAGACCGAGTCGAAAAGTCCTCTACCATTTTGCAATTTTCGTAATAGTTAAGTTATTAATTATTAAAAATCGCTGTCTTAGCCCGTCCAATTCAAGCGCGCGACGAGATGCGGCCGTCCCGCGATCGACGTTGCTAGGTGCGCGGGGAATTGTTTATGACACACGGCAAGGGCTACATATAATAAAGCTAATACTCCATAGACCAATCAGAAGCTTGCCGCAAGCTTCCTGCGTTGAAATAAAAATCTTTTGATTCGTTGCCGCACGCGTTGGCACAGCTCAACGCGTTTATGGAGTCTTAGCTTAACTCCCCGCGCGCCTAGCAATGTCGATCGCGGGACGGCCGCATCTCGCCGGGCTAAGACAGCGAGTTTTAATAATTAATAACTCGTTAGCCATTGCGAAAATTGCAAAATGGTAGAGGACTTTTCATCTCACAATCAGTCTAATCCGTTCTATTCGTAAATAAGAGGTGAGGCGGGTATTACGTAACACTCTGTACATTATTTTACTTCTTTGCAAATTATACATAATAGGTGTGTATGTTTTCATACTTTATAATGTGATATAACGTGCTCTAAAATCAGTGCGGAATACAATTATGACTTTACTTCAAGTTGCCAAGCGGCGAGAGTTGTATGCGCATTACTTATTCTCGCACAGAAGTTCTCTTACACTTTCCTATTTCTGCCCTACTTGTCCGTTTAGTTACGTTGAACAATTCACGATTTAATTCTTCCCTTTACCGAATTACAAGTAGAATTAGATATTCAAAGATTATCGCGAACGCGACGAATTTCGTATCCAAATTTTGTTTACCTGCCACAATGTGAAAAGAATGCAGAGGCATTGAGAGACAGATACTTCGTGTGGAAGAAGAAGAAGGAAGAAGATGGAAAGAGCGCTCGATCAATGTAAGACGCCAGGATTCTCTTCCGGAATCGGAGGTCTAACAACCATTCGCCGTAACGTTGCATCCCCTCGACGGAGACATTGTATAAATTCCAACCGAGAATCGAACAGTAATACTACTTGGCAAGTTTTCTACGAGGTTTCCTACGTCCCATTATGAAATGCGCAATAAATAGGGACGTAATGAGCGAGAGATAACAAACCGAATTTATATTACATTGAGTAATTCATGCTTTAACAATACCTAATAATACGAATCATCATACTGCAGTTCATTAGTCCGATTACACAATATATACGGAAATGAGATCCGCGCGAGACAATAAAATTATATCCCGCAAACTCACCTCGCGAATTCCACCTGTGATCGTTTATTTAGCTCGGGTTGCCGCTTGCCGGACCGCGGGAAAAGATTTATCCCGTGTTTTTCGTCGAGGCGTTTATCGCTGAAGATGAACTCGAGTTGTCCCAGGCCTGTATATTCGTTCTAGCGACAAAGACGTGTGGACACGACGGGGTTTTTCATGGACTCTCGCTTACAATCGGACGGTTATGCGGCGCGCGGGCCCGTACGTCGCGCGTTTTCAGCGTGCTCGTCGTTGCAACGCGGGCAAAATTGTAGCGGCTGCATAAAGCACGGCGAGAGGAGGGCGGGAGGAGGAAAACGCGCGGATACGGGCGCATAATTCGGTTGGAATGCACGCGGGGCTTCCATGTGCCATCTCCGCAAGTAGTAACCTACTTCATCAGGCATGTTGATGAGACATGCACGATTTAGTGAGTTGACTTTTTACCCCCCCCCCCCTCTACCTTCACCCCACTGCGTTTTCACTCTGCCTACGTTGCTGCCTGGGTACACGCGACAATTCAGGCGGCGGTTGTTCCCGCCGGTGGGCGAGCGTGATAAGCGAGCCGGGACAGTCTCCCGCTGCTGCAATGAGAATATGATATCCCTGCTTTTTCAATTGGCCATGTAATTACGAGTACGACGCGGCTGAGTCACGGCGAGATTTCGCGATAGGAGCGTGTAATTGACGGGCGCGCTATTTACATCGATTATTAAAGTTGCATGCATCCGAAGTACGGAGGACGGCAGTAATAAATGGCCGCGGACTGTCAGCCGTACAATTTTATTCCCCGTCGATAAGGTTAAAGGTTCGAGAGAAATATTTAATATTATAACTCAGTTTTAGAATATTTTCAATACCGAGCAATAAATTACGGACAATAAGTCCCGGCTGAAAATGCACGGGGATAATAGTTTGACTTTTAAACGAGATTCGACAGGGATATTTTGGAATATCTGCCATAAGGTGTGTATATTTGGCTGGTGAATCGAAGCTTATTACGCATCGCGCTATTTAATTGTGGCGTAAAATGCGATTGCGGTCTTTTCTTCCGGCCGGACTTTAGTTAATTTTTAACAAAGGCACAGACGCGTGTTGACGTTCTCCGCGCAAAATCTGAAATGTACAATGCCTTTCTTCACCTAATTGATAACGACAAAAAATGCCCGTCGGGATGACGAGGGATGATGTGCACGATAAACGACGCGCATTCGTAGAGTCATGATCACCTGACCACGCCTGTACATCAGCGCAGTCCGCGGCGCTGCATGCCGGCTTACCACAAATCCACAAATTGCCACCGTTGACTTTAATTAATGCACACTTCTCCATATTCCCTACCATCGATTACGTCTATATCTGCCGTATTCAGACACAGCTGCGTTGCGCCTCCATGCATCTCCGCCCCGCAGTTGTCCACAGATGGAAAGTGTGGCGAGCTAGGAAGGTTTAATTGAGAATCGCGTTTCATTAGAGGCGTTTATTAAATTTATTATCCACCCGTAACGCCGGCCGTTGAACGGATAATATTGGATTGGGCGGGTCCGATCGACGGCAACGTTTCCTTCCGCGACGTAGGTCGCCGCGGCCGATCAAGGCGCACGAAGGAGGCGGTTTGAGAAAAACGCACGCTTTCGTCGGCTTATCCGGAACACATTGGATGCGATTCTCCTCGTTAGAGGGTATAACGAGCTCTCGGCACCCGGTGTCGTTTTACACCGGCGCCCGTCTATGAACGCATTATTATTCCCTTATTGTATCATACAACCCGCCGACGGAGTTTGCAACTTTAATTTAACCCGTTACCAAAGCGCACGCCTGCCACCAACGTCGCGGGCGTATACGAGCGCGCATCCGACGTTGGATTAATTCGAAACGAAGAAGGAGCCGTTTCTGGTTTAGTTGCCGAGTTAGAAAATTGTTCGTCCGGAATGGCGCGGGACCCGCGCGGCGGGGAGCGAATACGGAGGGTGTAAAGACGGAACCGTCGCGACATCCGCGCAAGCGACGTCGTTCTCGCGCGGCCTTAACTCTTCATTGCGTAACCTTAACGCCGGCGTTAGACTTGTAACCATAATAGACTTTGTTCCCAACTCGTTTCCCGACCGTGGCGCATTTTGCGGAACGCCATCCCGGAAAATACAAACTTGATCCGTCGTGTCTGCATTGCGGGAAAACTCAATGTTACGTCGCGGCGCGGTCTTTAATCTTATCGCGTAGCGATTGTACGTCGCGGATAATTAAGGGACCACTCGTAAACCGCGTACGTTTTAATACGCGTCGCCGCTAAAATGTCTATACAGAGGAACGTTCTCTATTATGAGGTAAGCTCCTAATATGAGACAGTAGGGTTCCTTCTAAATGAATAGGCATCGTCAGGCTTCATCGTGAATTTATTACCCTTGGAGTGAAGTCTGTTTAGTGGAATTCATTGTTAGATCGCGTAATCGTCGCGAATAAAGATTTTTGATAAAAATTTTGATGTTGAAAATTTGCTATCTCGTATTAAAAGTCTGTCGCATAATAGAGGACTTTGCTCTACATTTTACGCGTATGCACTGTTAAATTTGTAGTGACTCGATGAGTCAAATTTGACTCGATGGGTAGTCGCCGCTGCTGCTACTCAATATGTTGTTACTTGTATCTATCGCGCGTAGCAAAGTTTATTGTTCTAACGCAAATTGCAGGTAAAATACAACTACATCTTTTATTCAAACCGTTTTATGGACTCTTTCAACTCCATTGTTTAAATTGAACGACATTTGGAGTGGCAGCAGTGGCGGCTACTCATCGAGTTAAATTTAACACTACAAATTTGACAGCGTATAAAACCGCAAAATTTCTCACGTTGTGGATTCGCCGGAAGAATTGATTATGAAGCTATGTATTTTTCTTTGCGTACAGCTTACGTTGTTTTACAAATAACAAATTATTTTTTCCCACGACTAAAATCCCATTTTAACGGACAGGATCTTTTTGCGTGCACGTTGACGCGCTCAAACGGAGCGTGGCGTAGAAAATCGATTTGAAATTACGTAACGATAAATAAAACCAGTGTAAAACAGGTTGTAATAAATCTCTCTTTAACGTTACAGTTTCCCCAATGATCTTCGTGCCGAATCAGCTTGTCGGTGCGCCAACTGGCACCAACGTAACGATCGACTGTCACACGGAAGCTTATCCCCGCGCCATGAGCTACTGGTTTCTGGGAGATGAGATGATTCTCTCCAACGAGAAGTACACGACGAATATCATGGAGAACAGCTACCGCGCGCACATGAGACTCACCATCAGAAACTTGACAGCGAGTGACTTTGGTAGCTACCGGTGCATTAGCAAAAACTCGCTGGGCGAGACGGAGGGATCCATCAGATTATACCGTAAGCTGACGTGCATTTTCTAGCCCGTTCGTGTCCGGATAAACAATTTTTTTTCCTGCGCCCGCTATCATTATGCATCTACCGCCGCGGTGTGTTTGCTATACGGGATATTATAGCGCGACACCGGCGGACGTGGTATTCGCGACGTGAATAATTTAAAAGTAAAACGACTTCCATAAATCGCGAATTCTCCGAGCCTTTGTTTAATTTCGCCCGAGTCGAAGATTTATTTAAAGCCGAGTGGATGTTAGCAGTAAATCGGCGCGGTTAAATCGCCGAGAGAGGAGATGTCTCGCGCCATCCCTCGCGCCGTTATAACCCCCTCCGCCCCCCCACAGCCCCCGGGGCCCGTGCAATTGCCGCCGCTCGGAGATAAGATGACCCACCCGGTTAAAATATGAATAAGGCGGCGGAGTTCGAGTTAAATTTATTGGCCGATATTTAAGGAAGTTATACGACGTCATTAAAGACGAACGATTTTTATTTCAGCTATTCCGAAGCCGTCGGCGGCACCGAAGGCGACGGAGATCAAGAGCAGCGCCAACAATGAAGGTGAGAATCTTATTGAATATATGCATTCCGACGATTCGAAAATCGATATTACTGGCGGGCGATCCTCTAACAATTCCCACGCGAAGGCAAACTCATTATCCACATTTTATACCCAAATCGTAGAACCTTAAAGTGCTTTCTCATCTCCTTCGCTGCGTTCGATCGCGAACGAAGAAGCGATGCCGTAGGTGCGTTTCACCAGAGGGAAAAAGAGTAACGTTCAATCAGGGGTATAAGTAACAGTTTGTATCTTCGGGCCTTCGTCGTCGATAGCACTTAGACAGCGCCGAGAGGACGGCAATTTCAAGGTGTCGCAGTCACTTTTTAATTTCCTAAAGAATCGTTCGTTTAACCGTGTCCGAACAAACAAAGCAGTCACGCCGGTCAAATGATGGGGAATCGTTCTTCGAGGGGAATTGCTCGGATGTTTCGCACCGTTCCGAATAAAGTACAGTGTTAGCGGAGGTACGACCAGTTTCACAAACATCGTTAACTGCTAACCTCGGGTTAATCGATTCTCTGTCTCTTCTTAGAAGACAGAAAAAGATAGGCAGTTGACTGAACGGTTAACCGACGTTTGCGAAACTGGCCCTTAGGCCCGGTTTCACCAAGCATCGCTTAACTTTAATTTTGGTTCAATTCGTGTTTGTCTCTTTCTAAAGTAACAGTTGGAAAGGGACAAAGAACGAATTAAACCAAGTCCAAAGTTAAGCGACGCCGGCGAAACCGGGCCTGAGTCTTTATATCAGGCGCACAGCTAGTCCACGCGCATTGGCGCGTTCATGTATTATTAAAACGGGGCGAATAACTTGGGCAGATGCCTAGGTCAGGTCCCTGTGGCTCCGCTGCCTCGGTGTGTTCTCCGTTTTCCCCTCCTCGGCCACGCGAAACCAATCTCAATATACTGCATTATTAACGCCATACAAGGCTCGGCCACGACGGTATTACCGCCATTAAGCTTCGCAATTTTACCGTGCCGGGCCCGCCGGCCGCTAGGGTGGATTATCGTTATTTCGAAGCGTCCAGGGGGAGAGGAACTGACTGTCGTAATGAATAACTATTATTCGCGAATTTTCCGCGGGCGGGAAGCCGCGGCGTCGCTCGCCTCGATATATCGACGTCGCCACGGCTGAATTTTCTCGCGACCCGGCGATCGTAAAAGCTGGAAGATCGTAACCGAGATTTACGGGCGTCGGAGGCGTAAGTCCGACGCGCGATTTCTTCGCGAGCCGAGACGAACGGGGCGCGCGAACGTACGTGCAAATAATGGTAATCGAAAACGTTCGTACGATGGAGATGTCTCGCGCCGCGCGAGTAGAAGCGTCGCCGTAACTCCGACGTACCCCCCCCCGTTTTCCTCGGTTAATGCAATTTACCGTATTAACGACTCAGCCGCAGATGCAAATACTTCACGAGCGAGACGAGACAACGCTACCATAATGTATGGCCTCGACTACTGATTAAATATTACGAGAAACTTTGGCGAAATCGGCAAGGGACGCGTCGCGTTCGTCTCTCTTCTCCCCTTGCCCCCCCCCCCTCCTCTCTCTCTCTTTCTCTCCGAATCAATCTTAATACTACGGGGTTATTAATGACCTAGTCGAGGTATGCAATAACTCACGAACACGACGTTAAATGCCTAGCAGTTTCCAATGGAACTGCCGTTCGTCTTATCTGCGCAGATAAGATTACGCCATTTACGGAACGATCTGCGATTCGAAATGCAGGATGCATGCGACGACATATCAAAAGTCATCCGAGACGACGAGGGGAATATTCGATCCAGCGAAAAAGTAATTTTGCGTGAAAGACGGGGTGAAGATATTAAGGAAATCGACAAATTCTTTATACGAAAAGTGTGAAACACGCATAATCGTTTATCACGCTTTTCGGTAAATCAAACGGCGTACCTGCACAATTTGATATTATGAAAAATGATGTTGATCTATGCCAAGATTTTCATTACGTTCGCGCGGTATAAATCAAAATTTACCCTTCCAGCTTGTTCAGATCGGAGAACGCAGATTTTAATTTTATATTGCGATATTACATCGGCGGTTTAACCAGTGACCTAATTAAGCGCATTTAAAATTCAATTACTGACGTCGCTGCGAGATACTAGGTCCACAGCACAGACTGAGATTGCATTGTTGGCGCTGGCGCGATCTAGATACTAGATAACGCTACCGTTCTAGAGAAAAAAACCGAGGAGATCGCGAAATTATATAAGAAGAATCTAATTTTCCAAAAAGCACTTCAACAGTCTGTTAGGCGTACAATGTTCATTCGCGATTCGAATCGCAGTCTTATTTCTGCTAACGGGTATAATCATTTTTAATATATTCCTTTTTTCGATATGTTACGAAATGAAGGTGAATAATTATTATTATTATACATGGCTTCGAATTACAATTTTGTAATAATTTTCAATTTAATTATTTCTTGGACACAATTTAAATACGCCAAAAATACTAGAGAAATTAAAATACCGCAGTTTAATAAAACGAGACATTTGAAATTAGATATGTATGTATATCAAATGTAATGCCAAGCAACACTATAGTCCGTATCCTTTCTTATACTGAGAATAGGTTAACAGAAACATCTTCCTTAATTTCCGCCGGAACCTTTAATACGAATTAATAATGATACGTCTGCGCCATGGTAAAATAACCTTGCTTGAATGTCAAGTAATACGAAATTATCCTTTGTTCTCGGGATAAGCGAGTGTTGTAAGAAAAAGGATTGGAATTAGTTCATCGAGAATATATGCGACGCTTAATAATTCCTGCATACCAGTTGCCTTACACTTATCGATTCTCTCGATCGTAATTAATTAAATTCCGATAAGGAGGCCAGAATTATTTCTGGCATTAGACTGTGCGCTCATACATTATGACATGCAATATCTGATATAAGATTATCACGTCAAAAAAAACATACGATCAATTATTACATGCACTAAACGTTAGAATAGCGTATATTGAAATAAAGAGAAAAAATTCTACTTTAAAATTCATTTGAATTATTGCAGATATAAGTGTGTTAAATAAGACAGTGCGAAACGAATGTAAATATTAATTTTACGTGTAAATGTCATATTTACAGGAGGATTCAATAACGTAGATATAAGATGTAAATTTAAAAATCATGCCTAAAATGTATTATACAAATTATGAATCTATAGTTTTCTTCTTTTTAATGATGAACCAGTTGAAATAGTGATTATCGTTAAAGAGAAAGAACATGATAAATTTATAATTTATAAAAAGGATCTTGTGGCATATGTTAGGACACTTTTTAAAATATGGCTCATTTTTTTTTTTATAAAATCTGTCTTGCGTATTGGCATATTGACATCTTATGTAGATATATAGTTAAATGAAAATGAATGAAATTATTTAGATTCTGTCCCAAATTCTTTCCTTTCAATTTTATATTGATTGAAAAGTCACGGAGAACTTCTTCGTTTTATCAGATTCGATTCGTTCGTTAAGATTGCAGATCAAATTCTGTTGAGCGAAGTTACAAAGTGAAAGTCTTAATTGAAGCTTTGTTATAGACTTTTTGTTATAGACTGTTCTGATATAAGTCTTCAAGTTCAAAATAGAATATAAAAGAAAAGATCTACCTAAGAGTTGTAAAGCAACTGCCAAGCTAGTTACGCTTTACTTAAAGTACATTTCATAAAGGATTTTCTGTTGAGAAAAAATGTGATACTTTTAAAAGTGCTTCGAGAGCGCACGTCATTTCTCGAAAAAGTGTAGGAAGATGTGCGACTGGGACTTTGATAAATCGAGGATCAAAACTATTAATAATGCCATCTCGCCATTTTACTTTTCTCAACTGCGCTCGCGAATCTGCTTCCTCCCCTGCTCGTCCTCTCTTCTCTCTCGCCCGTTTTCCGTCTTCGCGAAACAAATTCTTCTTGACGCTCGCCGCGGCACTTTGGAAGAGATGCCGCGAGAGACTCTTAAATTTTCAACGAGTTATTTCAAAACTTGCTAAACAAGCCCGCGATGCACGAAAGGACAACAAAAGGAGGGTAGGCCGGATGAGATACGAGCCCCGTTGTGATTTTGCCGGCAGAAAAGAGAATGTTAACGAGTGTACCTATTTGCGCAGCCAGAGTACGTAGACGTAAATATAAAGATGCGCCCACGCGTTTTCGCGGCAGGTGACCCAGAAGCTGCCATATTGTTAGGGGGTCGCGAAGAAGCTGCGAGGCGAAGTTTGTCCGGGGCGTATTTAAACTTTTATTCGAAAACTTTTTAGTGCCCAAGTTGGAGGCTGGGTGGGTTAAAGGGTCGCTTATTTGCAAACCAGAAAGACTGTAGGGTTTAACGAAGAAAGAAAAAGAGAGCTGTCGGAGAGAGATAGGAATGTGCATGGAGCATTGTCAGCCTAACCGCCGAGCAGTAGAATTCAGTCGAGTGAAAGCGACTCAAGAGAGGTAGATGCAGACAGCTCGGGAATTAATTAAGAAACGTTCGTGCGCGCCGAACGCTTTAAATACGTTTCTTTGGTGTATTTACTAATTTTTATCAGTATTCAGAGGATACGCTCTGAAATGTCTCGTATCAAAATTGTCATAATCTCGAGTGTAAGATGAATACCAAGAAAATTTTACTACTATTTCCTCTTTGATTTTGCTGTGTAAAAATTTCATTCGGCGGTTTACACTATTGCCTTGAAAAGTATACAATTGGTGGTACTTTGTAACAATTTGAAATAAAACAAGGCGTTTTTCGAATAAGCTATAGAGTCGCATAATTTATACACTTCGAATTACTTCGCGGCATAGTTTTCGAGATCACATCGACGAACGACACGCGCGGGACCGCGAACGATGGTAGTTTGAATAATCTTCACGATTATGAGGAACGAAATAAGCGTCAAAGCATCTTGCTACCAAGTCGCACAGAGCGGGTCTCCGTGCAGTAGAAGTATACAGGCCCCGTGGCGAATATCAACTTGAATTACACCCCGGGTTGATACGCATTGTATAGAATTATCGTGTAAGTAAAGTTTCAATCTACTACTAGAGAAGGATGCGACCCTCCCGGGATGCACTTTCATATTTACAAAGATAGAGCGCCAGCGCGCCTAGCATAATCTTATATTGTTGATAATATAATCGAATTAGACGCGGCAGACGCATTGTCTTATGGGAAGAAGCGTTTGCTGAACATTATGCGATTACGCTGCCGAGGAACTTATTTAGTAGACTAGTTACAACTAAAATCAATTAACAACAGCCTTGGTTTCACTCATAACGATCGCTTCGCTACTTCGTTAATTATTTCATTTCTATTAATTAGGTAATTATTACTTCTGACAAGATTACGTTAATGTTTAAGACTATAATTCGAAAATTGTTATATTTGACATGAAATTAAATTTTTTTTCCAGCGGACTTTACAAAATAGACGAAGCAATCGGTTCTTTTTTGTTTTCTTAAAAATCATTTAAAAAGTAACAACTCATCGGGATAATTACAGTGATCGTCGGTATTAAAAGTAGACCGACAATTAAAAATATACTTGAAAAAAATATTATGAATTATTTCTGAGAATTGTATGGGATGAAATCATTCGTTAAGTGGTAACCGATTGATGTTCGAAGTGGACACTTTGTATAGTATTGCAGGCACTTTCCACGATTCAGTTCTCTTATTTTTTTTTGCCGCGAGGTTCTCTCGTGAGAAGGCATTTTGTTCAATGGAACGTCCGTCGGCATCGAACGCAACAAGTTGAACTTGGCTCGATTTCAAAGAAGCTCGTAGAATTCATCAAACCTGCGCCCACCACATGCTTGCGCGCGTACGTTTTCTGTCGCATCTGTTATAAATTAAATTTCGCTTGTTAGGAATGACGGAGCAGCCGAGAACGTAGCTACTATGTAGCAAAAATTAAGCGTAAAGTAACTATAATACAAATATAGAGAGAAGGAGTTCTCTTTCGATTTTTTTCATTCCTTTATAAATTATAAACTGTGTACTAGAAAGAAGAGAAATATTTAATTAGACTTTTAGTTAAATATTAATGTAATTAGATTACATTAATAGTTCGATTGTTCCAATTTACACACAAATTTTCAAAGTTTTTGTACTTATTATTTAACATTATTCAATATATACGAATAATGCAATTTATTTATGAATAAATGTATTAGATGAATAGATACAGAAAAGAATGAATTTTGTAAACTTAATCCGCTCTAAAGTTTGAAGCTGACCCACGTGTCTCTATATGTTCACTATACAAAATATCTGTATCCACCTGTAATACGTAATCCTATCGCGTTACCGCATCAGTTAAATTTCCATCATCTCGCGCAATTTTGCTGCTGCGGCCTTGTATGGTGTAGAATAGTGCGCATAATATTTCACATACGCGATAAAATCAAATGCAGGAACGTGAAGCACGGGGGAAAAAAAGAGAGAAAGAAAGGGGACGTGCTGGACTGGATTATTGGCGGGTGTAAAAAAAAAGGAAGCAAACAGGAGAGTGCCTGGGTTAGATGAGAAAGGTCCTAATCTATTTTCAGGACGACCGAGCACGCCACCGCCAGCAAAAAGGCTGACCACCGTGTGGCCCTCGTCGTACAACCCCTACTATCCGAAAAGGACAGAGAGACCACCGAGTGAGGAGAGAATCGAGAGGCCCGAGAGGCCCGAGCAGAAGCTACGTGGTGGCGAAAGTACAGGTGAGGCTTGCATTCTCTCACCAGGCCCTCCCTCTGCTTTCCCGTTTCTTCTCTAATTATCGCGGCTGCCCTTTTAAGCGTCTCTTTCGTTCGCGTCCTAGCATCATTCGACCTCGCCCACTCCCGCTCCCGCGGCACCAATCTGGTTTCGGAAATAAGACGCAAGCGACATTCATGCGCTATTCTGCACCATGCACCCGGATATGCAGGCCGTCGCGAAAATCATAAACCGCACGTGTATTCCGAGATAAATCACCCCCGTTAGAACGGCGCAGAATTTATCAATGTCGGAAATAACGAGAATGATTGTAATATTAATACATTATAAACATGAACTGAGAAAAATTTGCAACTGCGACAGAAATGTATCTGTCTTTCTCGTATACCTAAGAAGAGAGAGATATATCTTTGCCTTCTTTTTTTAGGATACAGAGAGTTACTTCATATGTGCATGTCCGCCATATTCGTAGGGCTGAAAAAGAGATATATCTCTGTCCGACAGTATTGACTGCACTTTATGTACACTGGCGAGATATAGGGATGTTCCAGATATACAGAAAAATATTTTAAAAGCAAATTTATCAAACGGGATCTGAAAGCGATCGCGGCTCAAATTTTTAGCATAAATTACAATAAGATCTGATACGAAGACTAAAACGATTCTTCGTGTTTAAGGAAATTAAGGCTTCATACATAGACAAAGTATAAAAATAGACCTGAGATATTCTCCGGGTGTAACGTGACTCATATAAAAATCCACTCATATAAAGATCTATAAAGTAATTATCGCTGTATATCTCGATCTCCTTTTCGTGGTGTCGTGATAAGATGCAGTCGTGACAAAGCCCGAAATACACGAATAAGCGTTCCGATTGTTAACGAGATAACGAGCTTTAGCGAAATGGCCTGAAAAGCCATTTCGTTCCGCCGCCATTAAATTTAGGGCGGAAGCGTAGCGTGCCAGGAACCCTTAATAAGATGTTTACTCCTTAATGACTAATGTAGGCCATCATGATTATGTTAACTAGCAGTAAATAAAGCGACATATTCGCTTCTTATAATTTCCTTATTTGCCCAATTTTATTCTTTTTCATTCTCAAATTATTCGCACAGTTATGCAAAATCACAAGATCTCTCATATTTATATATGATAACATCGCGCAAACAATGCGGAATTACGGCAATTCGACTTTTACTGGTACAGCTTTGAAAATGCAGAGTACTCTCGTAAACAATTCTTTTTTTTTATTTCTTCTGTTTTACGTAATTCTTCGAATAAATTGGAAACTTCGTAGTCAAATTTGCATTTTCGTAACAAACTCGCGGCGGATTGCTCGCGTTAAACTCGATAAGATTAATTGCGCTTTCAAATAAATCGCGCCAGGTTAATTTCGCGAACGCGGAGGAAAAAAATGACTTGGCGCAATACGGTATTCAGTGGTGCGGTACACGTCGTCACGTGCACAGATATATTAAGCCAAGTAACGAACGTCAATTTTCATTGAAACATTTGTTACTTTGTTATTGCGATACGGACGGCCACGCATGCACCATCCATAACAAAATCTGTAGGGTGTTATTATATGGCAAATGCGTGTCAACTGTGAAGCATTGCATGTGTGTCCGCAATTTGTTTTCATTCATTAGGGGTTGTTAGCGGTGTAATATTTTACCACATCAAGACAAGGCTAAACGCTAAATCACAAAAATCACCACGTGGGCATCATAAGTTTTTCCAAGATTATCAAAAAATCATCGAAATCACTAACGCGGTAACCGGCATGACTATTATTTTTATCACGGCCGATATAAATGACGAGCGAGAAGGATGTAAGGTACTCGAATAACCATTTAGTCGGCCGTGATACCGAATAATTGTTATTGCTTATAATAACGAGCTTGTGCTTTTATTTGTAATGTATACTTTCGTTATATTATAGAAATAATCGATGTATTCGATAAAACGAAATAATTGTTTTTATTTAAAGACTAAAAATTTTATCACTTTTGTTGTTTAGTGAGCTATAAAAATGTGTAATATTAATGCAAAATTTATCAATATTTTAAAATTGTATTGCCTTATATGAAAATGCTGGAAATCGCGCATATAAATCGTAAAGTTATGAATATTTCAATCCTACAGGAAAACTCATGCTTTACATAATAAGTATGTTGATTCAAACGTATGATTAGCTAATGTAGTTGCAATGTATACATACACGTTCCTGATAGTTGGAAAATATATTCGTTCTACTTCGAAACGAACAAATTCCAACATAAAATAATAAATTGTCAAGAATTATTTTAAAAATTTAGTAAGACAAACAATCAATAATTTGCATTTGCATTAAAGACACCAAGGAAACAGTTTTCCTATAACAGAGACTTTTATATATTTTTTAAAATCTGTATTTCGTTATTTATTATATTCCATTTTTTTAATGCAATCTGTCATAAAGAAATCATGAAACTGCAACAAAGGTGTTATATTTATCTCCACTTTACTGAGAATCAACGAATACCAGCGCGATAAAATGTAAACGGAACGGCGTTTCGTTTATCAATCAAGTCCTTATCTTATAATACAAGCACAGAAACCTAGTCAAGGCGCGCTTGTCGATGCGCGTGATGCATTCGAAAGAGAAATACCGGCGATAAAAACGCCCCACGCTGCTGTGGTTTCACGCCGAGGCGACCAAGTTCAACTTATTCATGCGCCGCTTTTGTACAACGCATTAAAGATGCAACAATGACCTGTATTCCTTACACGATAACGCCGCACCCTTCTAGCCGGAGGCCCGCGCCGTATTTCACTGCGTTTTTCTACGGCTCGCCGTTGTTGCTCTAGCGTCCCTCGTGAATATTTAATCTAATAAAATAGTGAAATAAGTCCGCACGCCAGAAACACCGCGGAACACGTGCGCCAGTTTCCTTACGACTTGGCTGCAGCTGCTAGCCGCGGCGTGCTCCGCCGTAGTGTACGTAGGGGAGTATTATTCCGTATCGGAGTTTTACGCGAAAATCCGTATTCCGCTGACTGACTTTCCGCGGGCTCGTCTTGCGGATATTAATAATGTAATTCGAACCGGTCAGTTTTTAGCACTAATTCGCCGCGCTCAATTAATTAATATCTCATTTTACTTGTGTAGGAATTAATGTGAATTTATATGCATTACAGTAAAACGCTTTCAGAGCGATAATGATATACAATAAACGCTATATTTTAGTATTTCGAAGTTCAGGGTAAAGGTACTGTAATAATTAAATTCTATTGAAAATTTTGGCTGCGCTTATCATGGCAATTGCATAAAGTCACGTGAAACGCGCATATATAAATGCGTGTGATTTGAAATTAATTTAATGTAATAAACAGAGTTTATATAAAATTTTTGTATATTACTTCTTTGTCGTTATACTTTTATTTGAAGTTATAGGTCTTTTAATTATGAGGAATTTTGCACACGAAAAGTCACGTGAAACGTGCATATATAAATGCGTGGGATTTTAAATTAATTTAATGTAATGAATCAATTTTATATGAAAATTTTGTATATTACTTGTTTATACTTCAATTTTGAGTTATAATTTTTTTAATTAAAAAGAATTTTGCACGCGGAAAGCTTTCGGTTTAGTGACCCTTTGTTTAAATTAAAATAAACTTTTCTTACATCCAGCAATGCTCGAGCATTCTAATAATCAATTACCGTCATGTCAACCGTCGACACGCATCATAAACAAAGTGACTGCGTTTACAACGAGAGACATGTAAATACACGAGGCATGGAATGTGGAATTCTGATTCCGGACCTGAATAAATGACAGTATCAGACGGTTCGTGGTGATTAGCAAAGCGTCTACTCGCGATATCGACGTCGTCTAACGGCGCCGTGGTATCGCGCATCTACAGGGTGTACCGAGATTATCCGCACCGAATCATCCCGGATTAAGTCATTTAACAAAAGGATTAGACTGTACAATATCTTATCGATTAAATATCTCGCTCAAGTGTAACTTATATCAAGCTTCCAAGTTTAAATTCAATATTGCTTATTCGGCACTAAATAAAAGAAGGCTCTTGCCAATACTTGTTGGCGCGGCTGGGTCGAGTTTGGTAAATTCTTCAAATCTCTCAACGGTTTGTTTAGCTAGAAATTATGGCGGCGCACATTTTAAGGTGTATAGAACTTCAAATTGGAGAAAGGTGGCCTAAGTGGCGGGAAATACGGCAGAACTTGGAGCACCCTGTGTGCAACAACGCTCGAGCAAGGATACGCATTCGTGCTCTCGTACCTGCTGTTCTGAAATATGCATGGGCATCCCTTAGTACGTTTAGGAGGAAATTACGTAGGAACAACACGCGCGGTCTCTATAGCATCCTGTTAATATTAAGCATGCCTCCCCCGCATTATCCTCAGGTACTAGATACTACCGGGCGTAGCCACCTGCCAGTAGTCGTGCTTTTAGCTTAGCACGCCCCAACACACGAATATACGCATGAGCGCGTCAGCCAGAAACGATCTATACCGGAAAAAAAATCAGCTTCAATTACTCCGTTCGGTTATCGAGAAGTTTCGCGGAATAATTTTTCTGTTGGGAAGCAATTTCTTTGCTTAATGAATTATCGTTAATTAAGCGAGTTTTAATAATAAGTATGGAGGTTTTTAATCTGCAGTTTCCACAGAAATATTACAACGACGATGATTTTTAACGGTGATAATATTTAATATCTTTTCAATTAGTTATGTAACCGGCTGATGCAAAATTGCAGCCGTCCGAGGCTCTAAATTAAGATCATTAGCGTTTCAGAAAAATTAACAACAGCTGTCGGGTATGAAGGTCTGTAAACGTGTTATTAAAACGATAATGAATTCCGAGAAATTTCTACAATTGTGAGCTGGGTGTGTCTCGTGGTATTTAGTTCTCGGTAATTTCATCTGTTAACTCACCTAGCTGTTATGACTGCAGCAAATGATTTTAACTACGCTGCTTTAAATTTTATA